TCCGTTACTGCAAAATAATTCATCATAAAATTTATAAAAATGATCATTGAATGGATTCATATTGTTGTAAATTATATCAAAAATAGTCAGACCTAATAAATGAAATGTTTTACAAGTGCTAAAATTTTACTCTTATAGCTTCTTATCCAATATTCAAAACTGCTATCGTCTAACTACTAAATACTTTCTTAGTTGGTTATGACCAAGAAATTGCTATAGATTCTTTTGCGCATAAAAAGTTGTTTTCATCTAAAAAACATCATAAATCGTGTTCATAAAAGAACTAACCTAATTGTAAGTAATTGATATTCTTCTTCCTTCATATTTTTTAGTTGAAGTATAGCAGTTTTGATTACATCAACGACATCTTTATCAGTTTTTGATATGGTATCTCTATCAGTCTTTGGTATTCTACGCAAAGATTCTGTGAGTAATTGCAGCTAAATTTAATAAAATATTGACATCATAACTTGCAATTATTTTTCAAAAATTTCAAACTTTTTTCTGCTTAAATATTGCATTAATATATTCCGAATGAAAAAATGCAAGAACAAATTTTAAATGCACCAACAATATTGCATATTGCTATCAATTTTTTGCTATCTAAAATTATTTTCAGAACAGAAACCAAAAAAACGTATTTAATTTGAAGTAATGTTGACTGAAAATACTCCAAGTATTGCAGGTCAAAAAATAACGTTTAATTGACAATTTTTTGATTTGAGAATACTTTTTTGCAATTTAAATAAGTACAATTAAAGTAATTCAGGAGAGCTTAATAAGAAATGATAATAACTGATTTCCGATTTTCAATAATCAATTAATAATTTAATTTACAAGCAAATAGTTAATGAATATAATAGCTTTAATTTCCTATTATTAGTTATAATAATTAATTGTTTTATATCCCTAATTGAATAGATTATTTAATACCTGTTCTATAATTGATGAGATTTTGTATTTTCTAGTCAAGCGATGTACTTCATTTAAGTTTATCATTTCTTGCAATTTTTCAAGTTCAGTTTCTAAAAACTCTTTAGCACCTGATTGCATATCTCGAGCTTCCATCAAATTTCGTTGACTTATTTCCAAAACTTTAATCTGTTCTCGTAACTGTAATTTTTTTGTCAATCTTTTTAGTAAAATATTTTTAATTACATCAAAATCAATCAATAAATTTATTTAATAATTAATATTTTTTTAAAAGAATATAAAATAAAATAAAAAACGCTTATTACATCTTTGATTGTTTTTTCGGATTCTTGTCGTTTAGAAAGAATATCGTTTGATAAGTCTTTAATTTTCCTATTCAACCTTTCTACTTCTTTGGCATAAAACTTTTCATATTCTGCGTATTTTTTCTGTACTGTTTCCGCTGCTTTTAAAGCACTTTCTGTTATCTATAATTGAATTAATTATCAAAGTTTTGACATATGTATATTTTTATTTTATGAATTAATTATACTGAAGAAATTTTTTATATTTAATTATGTACTCAATACAAATTGATAAAACCATTTAAATTTTATTTTTTCATTTTTCAAAATTTTCAGCAAGGAATAAGTAGCATACATTTCAAACATTTTTGAAGCGAAAATTTAAAAAAAAGAATTTTTCTTGAAAAATTATTTAACATTTTTCAATAATTTGTGAAGAAAATCTAAAATTATTAATATATTACAGAAAATTTTCGACTGTAACTAATTTGTAATAATAGATTAGATTTTCTAGCAAATACAGAAACTTGAAGAATAGGTGATTTACATAATTTTGAATAAACCTGCAGCTCATTATTTGATCTTTTGCTGTCGACAACAGCTAAAGTTGCTGATCTATTTGGTCTGAAATTCGACCTTTCAACTTTCCATAAAGATCGATCAGCATCATGAGCCTCTTTTGATAACTTCAGATCAGCAGTTAGTTTAATCACTTCTTCTGATAAATCTTGAATTTGTTTGCTCTGGAACTTCAACTTTTTAAAAATTCTATTTTATTTGCTTTTTCTAAACCAGTCTTTTGAATTTTTAAAATGAAAAGTTTCATGATTTTACATAAAAAATATCAAATACTAATAAAAATATTGTATTCTCTAAAAAAATTGTGTATTTGTGTAAGGTTCAAAGGTTAAAAGAAATACCATTTCTACGTATTTGCTTTCCAGTTCCCTCTGATCACTTTCGTCACGTCGTTGTTCCTCGGAAACTTTTTTTTCAAATCCATACAATGCCTCACGATGATAATCACGTTCTCGTCGAGCTTGCACTAACTTAATAAATTATGATTAATTAGTTCGCAATTTAAAGATAAGTAATAAATTAAATGAAAAAATATTCAACCTGTGAATGCAATGATTTATTTGTATCTTCCATAATTCTCATTCGGCTAGCAAATTTTTGTTGCAAAGCATCGAGCTCGACGTTACGAATCTGTAAATTATTCCTTTAAATAACACGTTTCCACTTCTAACCACAAAATCTGATTACTTACACCAAAAAAATAAATAGCACTAAAATAATATACTGCTACTTTTGTATATCAAATTTTTAAAATCCAAACTTTGAGCCCAAAATTATTTACAAGTAATAAAAAACAAAAATTTAATCAGTTACCTTTTCATCTTGTCTCACTTTATGTAGTAAATCATCTTTATCTTTAATCCACTTCTGTTGTGAGGAAACAAGTTCCATTCTTAAATTTTCATTTTGTAATTTCAAATTTGAAATTTCGTTTGTTAATTCTTCATTCTGAATAATTAATGAATTTAGTGGTTGACAATACTTTGGAGAATTGTGATGATTACACGCCTTCATAAAACTATTTTAAATACTATGATTTTAGAGTATTAGCAGTGTTAGCAAACTCGGATAAAGCTAAGCAAGTTTAATAAACTAAAATGGTGCATTTTTAAATTCAGTAAAATATTCTTACTCTTAAAATTTATGTACAAAAAGTGTTCAGCTAGAATAAAGCAATGCATATAAATGAATTTAAAAAACAATAAGAGTTTACAAAAACGAAAAAAATTTGCTAAAAGAATGCATTAAAACAACCTTTTGCTGCAAGTTAGCCATTTTATCTTTCATGTCAGTAATCTTATCATCTTCTGATCGCGATAGTGCTATATCTGATAAGTTTGTAGAATGACGAACACAGGATATTGACGCTGAATTTGGATTTGAATCAGATTTCGTACCTAAAATCAAAATGGCGCAAAAAAAACAAATATTCTGACTTTAAAGTGTTAAAAAATACTAACGAGAAGTTAATATGTTTCTTTTTGTCAGTAAAATAACATATTTATGAATATTTTTTCTCTTTATTAAGACTACCAAATGTTTTATTGCTAGAAATGGTAATTTTTTATTTTAAAAATCTTCTCAG